GAAAAATCCACACACCTTCATTATTGAGTCAGTGTTTATATGAAACAAAGAGTACTTTGAATATTGATTGGCTTAAGATCATATGCCAATCATTTAATGATTTTTGGCATTGCCTGGCCTGACTTCTGCCATTCTGACTTTTGTCTTCTAGCTGAGACTGCTCTACGAATGCAATCCTATGGCCTTTGTTATTGAGAAGGCGGGGGGAATAGCAACAACTGGTCAGCAAGCAGTACTAGATATAGTGCCTGAGGATATCCACCAAAGAGTGCCTGTTGTCTTGGGGTCTCCTGATGATGTGAAGGAGTACCTTGAGATAGTCAAGAAGCATTCAGCTAAGTAAAGAAAGCTTGCTGGATTCACTGTGCACAGGGGATAAAATGTCTTACAGCTGAACCAAAGAATGCGCTGCAGTACTGTGAGATTGAGCTGTCTGACTTCTGTAGCAAAAGAGCAAATGAGCCATATTTTCATAAGATTTTTTTAAAGCTAAATCTTGTGCAATTTCATTGTGCAATTGAAAGGCATTAAATGAAAGGCATTAAAAGATTGCATTAAATGAAGCATTAAAAATTAAAGCAATGGAAAAATATGTTTTCTTTTTCGTTTATCATTTGTGGTTATGGAAGAGCCACATGTGTGGCAAGTATTACTGTGTTGCAATTAATATCTAGCAGGGGAGAGACTCACCTTTCTCAGACAAGTTACAGACTATCAGTACAGTTGACTCTGTCCTCTTTTAAGTCTTGGAAAGACTCAGCAGCCTCTTACAGTGAGTGACCTTTCCTAGACCAGTGTCTGAACTCCCAAAGTTGCTCACTATACTTTGGTCTGGGCTTACTCCGATGGAGAATTAATGTCTGTGAAACATAAGTATTAGTGTATGTTTATTCTGACACATGATGTTAATACTGCTGGTTGCCACTCTATCAGATCCAGCTACACAAGGATGGAAAATGACAGGTTTGTGTGGAGGGGTTTTAATGGGATAAAGAATATGTGTAGCCAGCTTGTACATACACAGATTCTGCTGTGATGAGCTGGCTATCTTTGCCAAAAATTAACCTGCTTACTTGATGAAAACATGAATTTGTGTCTTGCTATCAATCTCCACCAGAGATTCCTTGTGTTATTTTGGGGTTGGGGATTACCATGGAAAAGGATTCTGCTGTGCAAGCAGGAGGAAGGTGCAAAGAGTCCCCCAAAGCATAATGACATTTAATATGCTCATTCAGAGTATGCTGCTGGGAAGAGCATGCTAGTGCTTGGGAGCTAGATGGGCTGTCCACCACTGTCTGGATGCAGCTCTTGAATTAATTAAAATCAGCAAATCTTTGCTATTTCTCACTGCCCACTTACCTTCACCAAACTCAAAGTAAGGATCACATGGATGTGCTGTGGGTAAACTACCACTGAACACTGAACTCAGTTCATGGTCTGGGAGGTCCTGTCTAGGGGTGTCATGAGTTATAAACCTACCTACTTGGGGGCTTTGTATGTATCAGTGCAGAGAGCCTGACTGAGTGTGGTTCTTCGTGTAAAACAAGAGAGAAGTATGGGGAAACTGAAACCCAGGGTGGAAGGGCATGCTCTGTGAGGGCCCTTTTATCTGTATCAGACAGATAAAAACCTGAGGACCCTCATTCTAAAAGGTCATGCAGGGGCATTTGGAGGCATACCGACAGTTCTATACATGCATCTGTTCCCCAAGCCGATGGGGGGGAAGACGTTTCTGTCAGGGGCTGAATGGCCTAGTTTCTGCTGAAAATGTTTATTCTAATGAGGCTAGTGGAGATGACTTTCAGTGACCTGAACCGTTAAAAGACTGTGAGAGTGCTGGCAGTAGTCAATTTGGACTACAGTGCCTCAGTGGTCTGTTAGTATGGCTCAGCAGACAGAATCCACAGCAGGGATTTTTGCCTGTTTACCATAATTCCTTGTCTGTATTCTGCCCTCTAACTTTACAGGAATCCTGGACTGCATATATCTATTTTTAATACACCATGCTGACATCATGTAAAGGTTATAGGAGGAAAGTTAATACTGTCCATGTTCCTAGGTCAGTTCTCAGTGTTTTGGTTTTGCCTGTAGGCTGACATTTCATACTTAGCATTTTACCCATTGTGAGCTGGTTTTATCTTCTAATCAGTAATATGGAAGCCCATATTTGAGCAACATCCCTGGCTAGCCACCAGTGGGGAGAACTACTTAGCAATCTCCTTTGACAGCCCCCTTTCCAGAGGTCTCCCTGCCTGTCAGTGCAGAGCAGGAAGGTGGGTTTGTCACAGTGTCTGCTGTCAGCCCCTCTCTCAGTTCTACCCAGTGCCCTCCTCAGAGTCTGCACTGTGGCCTTTGGTGAAAGGTCACTGGCTCCAGTTTCAGCTGGCGCCATCCAAGCGACTAACATTTCAACTCAGTTAGAAAAGCTGTCACCTTTAAGGCTCAGGACTGGCCCATACACAAGTGGAAGTGTGAATAATCCCCAAGAACTCTTTATATTAGGGGGCAAACCTCCTAGATCAGTCAAATTGAGGTGCTTATTTTTTTAACATTCCTAAGCTGTTCCAACCCCTAGTACTGAGAGGTTCTCAGGCTTATAGACAATCATCACACATTTTTTACACAATCTGACTTTCTCCACCTCCCCAAAATGGTAATTATTTATGTAGCCTAATCATTGTGTATAATCATTTGGGTTATTACATTTCAGTGAGATCACAGTATTTATCAAAACAGGGTGAAGCTTTCATGCAATCCAATTGTGTGCCTTTATCCAAGTTTTATTTCTTTTATTGCTATACTGTTGGCTGCAATATTTATGGAAAGACTGGCTGAAGAGTCTGTGTTCTTTACATAATACTGTAAATTAATTTCATATTGAAGGACTGTTATTTGAGAAGCTCAAAGCATTGTACTTTATATGTAGTAAAAAATCCATTACTTATAAAATACATTTGCAGATTTTCTAAAAAGAAAAAAAAAGAAAAGGAAAAAAAAAGGAAAAAAGAAAAGGAAAAATAAAAAAGAGGAAAATAGTGGACTTATTAGCTCTGAAAACACTCTTTGAACCACTAACTCCAAAACAAACTTTCTGTTAGAAGATGATCTGAACTTTGTCTTTTTGACCAGTGCAAAAGATCACTTGGAATAAACAGAAGACCTGCATGTGATGTTTTGACAGAAGTTAGAAATTATAGGCCAGCCCCCATCCCATTTCTTATTTGCTGAATTGATTTGGTATGTCTATGGTATTCCAGCTACACAGCAGAGAGATTTTGCACTAAAAGCATGTTATTATGGGTAGGCTGTCAGCTGCCATGATGATGCAATGATGTGCAGGCAAAATGTAATTGTTGTACTTTAAGCCAGCAGATATTTTTGCATGAATAACTGAAACCTGTCCCCTACTTTTATTGATCCTACCATGTGCTATCCCAAAGCTTCCTACATACATTATTTTTGGTTTTCTACAAGTCTGTTCAAAAGAAGAAAGTCTCCTAACCAGGCAGAACATGCTGTGTAACGTTTGTCTTGTGATGTGAACAGTATCCTATACCTTTAACTATAATCACTGTAGTAGAAAAGAGAAATCTTCAAGATTGCTTTGTTCTTCAGCCATTGCCTTAGAGGATGTAGTACAAGACCCGCCTGAGGCTCCATCTGATCAACTCCACTCACCAGTCCTTTCTCTGTCTTGGAACAGGACTGCAAAAACATCCCCAAATCTAAGCACAGGGGATGGAAGCAGCACTGAACTCTCTACTTGTGGCTAGCTTTCAGTGTTGTCAATCTCTAGAACACCTTTTAGTGGCTGATTTAAAAGTAGAAAACCTTAGCATTGAAATCCCTTTAAAACTCTACAAGTAATGTATTTTTCATAGATGAAGAGACACTTCCAGGAAAGTCTGAAGAAATGCTAAAGATTAAAAAAGGAACACCAAGGGAAATCAAAACTTTTTTGCTTCAGCTGCAGTTCCTATTAACAAAAACACATTAGGTATATGTTTTGTTACTGAATTTTGTTTCCATCTTGCTGGCAAGATTTTAGTGCAGTAATTTGATTTAAAGGAATAACAATGAAACTTAATAAAACTTTTCTTCTGTTACTCCAGATTTTCTTGTTTTGCTGGTGGGCTTTCCATATCTTCTACTTAAAAATAAGAGTGATGCTAATAAGTAAAATGAAGGCTACAGCATACAACTTCATGTAGTTTCTCTTACTGTCTAGTCAGAGTGGGAAGTGTAATTAAGATCCATAACTTGAGTGCTCCAGATAGCATGTATCCAATGCACAATCTAATACATTACTTGGAGAGTGTCTACCTTCACATTGTCATCATGTGCTCCAAGGATATTGTTTGTAAGGAGTTACTGGCAGCATAATTGCAAATTTGGACATTCCTGTATTTACGTGGTGCACTACAATATGAAAGCCAACATAAAATTTCATTTTGTGAGTTATGGCATTGACATGCTTAAATCAGAGGAGTCTTATTTGTAAATTATTTAAGACATAATTACTTTGTAACTAGTCAAGCCACAGCTAACCAATACTTATTCAAGCACTATAATATTACAAACAACCCAGGCCAGGAATGAAATCATTAAAATGGATTTTAGCAACATAAAACACTTCAACAAATGCATGTCTAGATGCACCCCTTCAAAACCTTCCTTCAGGGTGAAGGCCAAAAGAGTGAAAAAACTGGGCTTATGGGAAGGGAACTTCCCTGTCTGGCATCACAGTGCTGTGGGATGCTGGCACACATGGTTACTGGTTATGGTTACTGGTGCCTGGTGCCTTCATTTCTGGTGCCTTGTAAACATAGCCTTGGCTCTGCTGAGCCCATTGCTGAGCAGGATCTACAGGAAAGCCATTTCCAAGAACGCAGCCAGCCAGAGTTTTGCATTATAATCAGACCAATGTACAGTCAGAATCTGTAACTAGATCTGCACAGAGCTAATTTCAGTGTGTGGGGGGACCAGACGGGCAGTAGTTGCTCAGCTGTAGTCCTGTCTCAGGCTCCTTTCCTGCATCCCAGAGGGGCCGTGGAGCCAGCCTGGGGTGCAGTTATTCTGAGCACTCAATCACATGGTCTCAGAAACATCTTAATAAATTCTGACCAGCAACACTGCCAAACACAGCTTCGCCTCAAAACAAAACAGCTACCCAGGATCTCAACACAGCAAGACAGCACCTTGTCCAGCCGAGAAGACAGGAACTCTGGTACCCAGCAAAAATGACTGACAAAAGCCCCTTCGAAACGGATATGCTGACGCTCACGCGATTTGTTATGGAGAAGGGACGCCGCGTAAAAGGAGCGACGGGGGAGCTGACACAGCTGCTCAACTCCATGCTGACTGCCATAAAGGCCATTTCCTCTGCTGTCAGAAAGGCAGGCCTTGCCCACATGTGAGTCCTACCTTGCACTACAGGGAGGAAGAGAAGGCAGAGAGACAGCTACTTGCATAGCAAGGCTGGGGGGTGGGCAGGGATTCATAAATACCTTGGAAGTGTCCTTTTTAAGCTGAGTAAGGTTAGAGCTTCAATGCACTGCTCACCTTGTTATCTCTTGTACTTGTTGATACTGATCTATTTTTGAATTTACTGTGAATTTGCTGAAAATAGCACCATGATATTTTTAATGCAGAATATCTTTGTGATATATTCTGCTAACATCCAAGCCCTCTGCTGAGCTGTGCAAATCAGAGCTTGGCTTACCTTGGGAAGTTAATTTTCTCCCTGTCTCCTGTATAAGCAATGCTCTAAAGCAACAGCCATGCAAGAAACACCATATGCTGCTATACCGGGATGCATTTCTCTTTCCTTCCTCAAGCAGTATCCCACAGGCAGGGAGTCTCAAAAGGCCCTGCAGGAAAAACAAATATAACTATCTGGCATCTAGTGCTTTCACAGATGGAATAAAAAGTGGCCTTAGCAAAACTTGGAATGTACTGAGCTGTTCCACATGGACAAGTTCAATAGACATCAGTTTAAGTCTTTTAATGGTGATATATCTGAAGGAGTTCAGAGATATGGAATACCCTAATAAAACTGTGTGTTTAAAATAGAAAGTTCTTGATATATATTAAAAGATATTTTTCTGAACACACCTCAGTATGCACTTACACCTGCATGCATGAAAGGGACCAGGAATACATTTGTGAAAGAAAGTTAACATTGTAATTCTTTCAGGATTTTTTTTTTTTTTCTTCCACAGAAACACCAAAATGTGTGATACTAGGGGTTGGGGGTTGGGGGGG